GGCCACTATATCCAGCTAATTTTTTTCTTCTTTGGGGTAGAGACAAGTTCTTGCTATTTGTCCAGGAAGATCTCAAACTCCTGGTCTCAAGGATCTTCCAGCATTAGCCTCCCAAAGTGCTGGAATTACAGATGTGATCCACTTTAACTGACCCCAAATTGTATTGTTCTAATTTTCCACATCTCAACAGTTTATCAAGGTGATAAACTCTACAAATTCTTATTAATCACAATTTCTTTCAGATTTTAAGTTTCTTGATTTCTAGAGCCATGTCCCCTCAACACTGTTTACTAGCACATCACCGCATGAAGTCACACAGCATAAATGTAGAATATACAAAGATAAGTAAAAATTATAGCCTTAAAGTTGCTTGTGTAAAATGTAGCTCCCAAAACACAAAGAAAAAAAATATTTCTTGGTTACTATATAACTCATTCTTTGTCATTTGTATACAAGGAAAACAAGACCAAAACCAGTGAGTTAATTTTGAATCTGGTCCACAGACCAGATTGAGCAGTATCAGCATCTTCTGAGATCTTGGCAGAAATTCAAATTCTTGTACCCTCCAGATTTATAGAGGCGGGCCCCCCAAAATCTGTTTTAACAAGTCTTCCAGGTAATTTCTTAAGCACACTGAATTTGGAAAAGCACTGCTCTGAAGAAAACAAACTTTTAAACGTTAACATTTTCTACCTAGAAATCGATACATCTGAATAAGAGCGAACCTGCTTTTTAACTAAGACCTAGTTCACAGGCTATGTAAAAGGTGGCTTTTGATCAAAAACCTTCCATGATGCTCTTGAGATGAACTAAGCCCACAGGGTCTTTCAGCGCCTGGCCCTGTCTACCACTCCAGGCTCATGCGTACCTACATGGCTTCTCACTGCTCTAGCCTTCTTGTGGTCTCTCCCGGCACAGGCTACTCTCTTGGCCGGGAAGGCCTAATTCTACCTGTCACTCCTCACAGAAGCTGTCCATCACCTTTGCAAGTGAAATCCCTTTAGCACACAGTAGGTGCTTAAGTTTTGTGTGTTTTAATGAACAGGTGACTATTACTTGTTCTCACAGTACTGTGTGTCATGTAAGACCGACTAGATCAAGTAATTGTATAACTACAAACAACATCAATCTATAATGCCCAGTCCTGAACAGAGGAAGGCTGTCTGTCCTCACCTTTGTATTGCCAGCAGCAATCACAGTGTGTGGTATGCAGGAGGCTTTCAATGAACACTTAATTAATGGATGAATACAAGTTTCTGATTGTTAGCATGTCTGGCTAAGTCCAATTATTTACTAACCTTTAGAGAGGAAAACCCGGAAGACAACTGAAGACAATCACAAAAATAAGTGATTACACATATAAATTCTTGGCTAAAGAATGTGTGTCAAGGGTGGCCAATACACTAATGGTGATAGCAGACAGCATAGTTCTGAGATCACTGATAGTATGTAAACATTAATTAATTGTTAGCACAACAAGCACAGGATAATCACTCTATTTTACAATTATGAATAAGTTTTGTGTTCATTATCCAAATGAAATATGTCTTGAAAGAAAGCACACTAATTGTGTTATACTAACAGGAAAGTGGTATTTGGGGAACAACTGTAGAGATTAGTATCTATACACCATAGGCATTTAAACTGATGATTGAGTTTTAAGAGTTTAAGAGGATACATATCTGAATAGAGATTCACTACCACCTAGCTGACCAAGTGGGAAAAGGG